TTAATTAAATTGTTCACATTAGTTGGTTTACCTAAATCTATACAGTCAGATCAAGGATCTAATTTTATGTCTAATTTGTTTCAGCAAGTCATGCATCAGTTAGATATTAATCAATTTAAATCTAGTGCATATCACCCTCAATCGCAGGGGGCGCTTGAACGTTTCCACCAAACTTTAAAAAATATGATTCGGTCATATTGTTTAGAGCACAAAAGAGATTGGGACGAAGGCGTCCATCTTCTTTTATTTGCCGCTCGAGAAGCCGTTCAGGAGTCCCTTGGATTCAGCCCATTCGAATTAGTATTTGGCCAATCAGTGCGGGGACCGCTTACATTTCTTAAAGAGAAATGGTTAGGTGATGATACTAATATCAATATGTTAGATTATGTTGTTAGTTTTAAAGAAAGACTTAAAAGAGTATGTGAAATTGCCAAAGAAAATCTTAAAAATAGCCAGGTCAAAATGAAATACTGGTATGACAAGAAAGCCAAGAATCGTACTTTTAAATCTGGTGACAAGGTGCTTGCCTTTTTACCTATTCCTGGTAGTCCGCTACAGGCCCGATATCACGGTCCGTATGAAGTTGAATCTAACGTTAGTGACTTAGATTATGTTATTAAAACGCCTGGTCGTCGAAAACAAAACCAGTTATGTCATATTAACATGTTAAAGCCATATATTGAGAGAGAAACTTCAAACATTAGTAGATCTGTTGCTAATTTATCTGCTGTTCAGTCGAATGATGAACAAGAAGTTATAGAACCTATACAATGTGATATTAAATTAAAGAATTCTGTTATACTTTCAAATTTAGATACTAAACTTAATCATTTAAGTGATGTTAAAAAAGATGAGTTAAAATCTTTAATACATAAATACATACATTTATTTCCTGATGTTCCAAGTAAAACGGAGGCTATATATCATGATGTTGACGTGGATGGGGCTGTACCTGTTAAACAACACCCATACCGTTTAAATCCTCTTAAATTGGAACATTTGAGAAATGAAGTTAAGTATATGATTGAAAATGACATAATTGAACCCAGTTACAGTGACTGGAGTTCACCATGCATATTAGTTCCAAAGCCTGATAAGTCATATCGTTTTTGTACAGACTTTAGAAAAGTTAATTCTATTTCAATAACTGATTCATTTCCTATCCCTAGAATAGATGATTGTATTGATAAAATTGGTGATGCACAATTTGTTAGTAAATTCGATCTTTTAAAGGGATATTGGCAGGTTCCATTAACGGAAAGGGCTAACAAGAATGGGAATAGCACAAGAATCAGTTAGATGCTTTATTTCAGAAATTATCTGATGCTAAATTAACTGTAAATCTCATGAAAAGTGAATTTTGTCATGCTACTGTAGAATATTTAGGCCATATTGTAGGTCAAGGACAAGTAAAACCTATTAAAGCAAAAGTTGAAGCTATTGTAAATTTTACTCAGCCGAATAATAAGAAAGAAATGATGAGATTTTTAGGTATGGCTGGTTATTATCGGAAGTTTTGTCCAAATTTTTCAGTTATTGCTAATCCCATGACAGATTTATTAAAAAAAAGATGCTAAATTTATTTGGTCTGATCAATGTGCGAAAGCGTTTGATAAACTTAAAGCCATACTAATTACCTCTCCAATTCTTATCACACCAGATTTTACTAAACAGTTTAAACTTTCGGTAGATGCAAGTGATATAGGTGCAGGTTCAGTTTTGTCTCAGAATGATGTAAATGACATTGAACATCCTATATGTTATTTTTCAAAGAAAATTAATAGATATCAAAAGAATTACTCTACCATTGAAAAAGAATGCTTGGCATTAATACTGTCTCTGCAACACTTTGATTTCTATTTGGGAACAACTTTATATCCTGTAATTGTATGTACAGATCACAACCCACTTACTTTTATTCATAAAATGAAAAATAAGAACAAGAGGTTGCTCAGATGGAGTTTAATGTTACAAGAATACAACATTGTTATTAAACATATAAAAGGTAGAGATAATGTTATACCTGATACCTTATCTAGAGTAAATTAAGTGTTACATTTAAAGTTTACATTACATTTAAACTTTTTTAAAGGGGGGAGGTGTCATGTATTACATGATATTGTTATGTGTGTATAATTGTCTCTATGATTATAATGAATAATCAGTTCATTGTTGTTACTAAAGTTGTGGTGTGATTCGTCTGCTAGCATTGTAAATAAGTAAAGAGAAGAATCCTATTGAATTTCAGCAATTTCCGTTTATTACTTCTAGAGGTATGGCCCTTGTTTCACTTTGTTCAACCTTGTTAATGCTCGATTGATGAAAGTTATTTTCCAATATGTATGAAATTTATATTGTCATGTATTACATGATATTGTTATGTCTGTATAATTGTCTCTATGATTATAATGAATAATCAGTTCATTGTTGTTACTAAAGTTGTGGTGTGATTCGTCTGCTAGCATTGTTGCAGAATTTAGAGACATTTTAATCAAGACGAGCGCGTGCTGGTGACCACGTGATGCTGGGGTTGCGGCAGAGGCATGGCAACCAGCGGCATGGTGGAGATTTGTTGTGAAGTTTCGTGTGTAAATTCTTTCATTGCATAGTTAGATATAAGTTATTGCATTATTTTATACCGTGTGAATGTTCGGTAATATGTCTAAATCATCGTTGATAACTCGTATCAAGTTCGTTTCATGATTATAGTAAGTAATTCGCGATAGAGTAGAAGATTCCAGCATCAACGCAGATTCCAGAATAGTTCGACCCACGTGACATCGGAATGTGTGTTGACGAAACATGTGTGTTATGAACTGATTCTTTAATATATAATTAATAATACTGTCTAATATTTAATGTCCATTACAAGTCCGTTACGTATGTTTTTGTATGATTCTCTCGTATTACCATGTTTGTGATTGTAGTTTACCGTTCACTGTAATAAATCATGTTATTAATTGTACATTGACGTTTTCTATAATTTCTGCTGACGGGGCGTATTTCATGAATAGGTTATTTCTGGCCTTGTTTTAAGTGACGTAACAATATGCATCATTTAAATTTGTGAAACAGAGGTCTATTGAATTTCAGCCATTTCCGTCAATAATTTCTAGAGTTATGGCGGTTGTCTTCCTTGTGACAAAAGTGATCATCTAATCTGTATGAAATTTATATGCATTATTTAAATTAGTAAAACGAAAAAGCCTGTCAAATTTCAACAATTTCTGTAGATTACTTCCAGAGTTGAGACCCTTGTTCCAGTTCGTAGAACCTTGTGAACCCTCAAACGGCAAAAATTATAATCTGATCTGTATGGAACTGTCTTGTAAAGGCCCCCAATTACCTACAAAGGAATAAATATGCGACAACCCTTGCCGACCGCACGGACGATTTAGCTGTTGTGGGCATATGTTTCGTTGCCTGGCAACCCATCTTTATATATATACTATTCAAAAAAAGTAGGGGATATTTGATTTTGGGGGCATAATACTCACTATAGAACCTAACAGAAGAAACATTTCCAGTTACATGTGACGCCCAAACGCACCATTAGCTACCGCATGGAATGCAGGTGATGCTTGGGATCATCATGGGGGTCCAACCCAAGATTTGCACGACTCTGACTTTGAATGTTACAGTCATTGTGGCATTGAATTCCAGGGTGGAAACATCAGTTTAATTGTTTTAGTGACCAGAACACAAATTTTGATATGCGTCGGCTTACCCAAAATGATAGGTTACGTGCCCTTGGCATGCTACAGATCGACTCAACACAGGCGGTTGTGGCGCGGACGATGAATGTGTCTCAGTCTGTCATAAGCAGGCTATGGTCCAGATACCGTGATACACAATCTGTACAGGACAGACCACGCTCAGGTCGACCAAGGGCGACAACTCAAGCCCAGGATCGATTTATCCGTACCTTGGCCTTGAGAAATCGTGTCATCACAGCAAATCAGATCAGCGCTCGTCTTCAAACAGACACTGGTGTGAGAGTGAGTGGCCAGACGATTCGGAATCGACTGCATAGGGGTCACCTTCGCGCCCGACGTCCTCGCGTGATCCCTTGTTTGAGAGATCATCACATTCAGGCAAGACGTCGTTGGTGTAGGGGTCGTCAACACTGGGATAATCGACGCTGGAGCAATGTGATGTTTTCAGATGAGTCAAGGTTCACTGTTGATTTTTTGGACAGACGTAGGAGGGTGTGGCGTCGTCGGAACGAGTGCTTCCAAGACGTTAACGTCATCAGACATGATCGATTTGGGGGTGGTTCTGTTATGGTGTGGGGAGGCATCACTGTTGCTGGAAGAACGGCTTTACATGTTGTTGCAGGGCGTGTTACAGGCCGGTACTACCGGGACAACATCTTGGCAGTCCATGTTGTGCCGTTCGCACGACGTCATGGCCGCCGTTTCATCTTCCAGGATGACAACGCAAGATGTCACAGGGCCAGGATCGTTACAGGTTACCTCCAACAACAGAACATCACCACATTACCTTGGCCAGCACTAAGTCCCGACCTCTCCCCCATCGAGCATGTCTGGGACATGCTTGGACAGAGGTTACGTCAACGTCAACAACGTCCTGCCAATGCAACAGGAATGGGACAATCTGGACCAAAATGACCTTAGACGTCTCATTAGGAGTATGCCACGTCGGATCAATGCTTGTTTGGCAAACAGAGGAGGATTTACCCGTTACTGACTTGGTTGTGATGCTGTGGTAACTTTGCTGTTTGACCCCGGGTATCATTTTACCCTTATAATGGTCAGTCTGTGCCTTACTTAGTCTAACGATCATTTGGAATAAATCGATGAATGTGAACTTCATTTCATTTTGTCATTTGTTTCTTCGTCAGTTTCATTAGGTGACTTTAATAACACTTAAAAATCAAATATCCCCTACTTTTTTTTAATAGTATATATATATAAAACATCGCTACCATAATTAAGGCTTGTTTATTTTATTTACAATGCTAACAATTTATTTTTCAGATTTAAGAACAAAAAACACCCCATTGGTTTTGAGCAGTATATGTAACAGACACCATGGGTTAATATATCATTATTATTTTGAAAGAGGGAGAGAGAGAGGGAGAGAGAGAGAGGTGGGGGTAAAAATCATAACGGGTGAAGTAACCCACACTTGTGTTTGTGACAAGGAGTAAGGTCGCCTGTCTAACCTCGTGTGTTTTCTCTTGGTGCAATACAGTTTTCGTATTATTGAAATAAAATGGTATCATGTTAATCTAGAAATGCGTTGAGTGGACGTTATACCCCACCAGTCCCTCTCTGTCACTCAATATCATTATTCAATATGATAAGCTGCTCATCTGCTAGACTGCGATATTTTCTGGATTATTATCCGATCTGCTGCTCAACGCTCATTCATGATTAAATCAAAAATGGATAATCGAGACTATGTTTTTTGTCGTACCGACTTTAGTAATGATGATCGAGGCTAGGCCCAAAATTCAATCGCTCAATTCTCGGTTCAGAGTGGATCAGTTTGACTGAAATTTTCAGCTGATTCCCTCTAAATTATCTAGTTTTTAACTATCATAATGAAAACTGCCAGCTCTTTATCTAATCTCCCATAATGTATTTTTAATTAGAGGAGGAAAGTTCAGATGAAGAATTTTCTGCTATGAGATTACCAAGTCTAATAGATCAGTTGAAGCGATTACTAGAACAATATTCAGATGGACAAATACTCAAGGTAACCATTTTCTCTTTCATCAAAGTTCCCTTTTATACTTCTTTATTGTGCTTCTTTATTACTTGGTTTTAATACACGTGATTTGATAAAAGAAAAATATGTTTTTAATTTAATGTTAACACACTACTTACTTTGAAATGTGTTTTTTTTTATGTTAGCGATATAAAGGACCCCATTTCTTCTAGAGCTATGGATCTTGTCTCAGGTTGTAGAATCTTGTGAACGCTCTAACGACAAACGTTATTATACGATCTGTGTGCATTATTTAAGTTAGTAAAACAGAGAAGTCTTTCAAATTCCAACATATGTACGAAATTTATATCAGTGTTTTGTAAATGCCACAATTACCCACAAAAGAATACAAATGGACTGTTTCGGACGGTTTAGCTGTTTGGAGCGTATGTATTGTTGCCAGGCAACCTATCTTATTCTCTCACATTTTAATTTGGTCGGATATTGTCATTGGGACAGTTCTTTCGTGGTCCGCAAGGCTTGGATCGTTTTGACAGTAGTATGTATTTATGAAATATTGATAGAATTATTGCCCTTGATTAGTTTGTAGAATATTGTGAATTAGCAGTCCAGTCCGCCCGTTTGTCTGTGTGTCCGTTCACATTTTGTTTGTGGACACTCTACAGGTCACGATTTTATCTGATTTTGATAAAACCGTGAAATATAGGTTTATATCTCGAAGATCCCGATTCTTTCAATATTGGCATGTATCGGACCGTAACGTCATGGATACGAAAAATCACGTTTTTGGCTTGTGTAATAGTATGCAATACCAAGACTTGTGGACCCCATAGAGGTCACAATTTTGATCCAGTCTTTTTTAATGAAACTTAAAATATATGGTTATACCCAAAAGATCTCGGTTCCTTTCCTGACTGTACCAAATATTACGTTTTTAGCTTGTGGCCCCTCTGGATGTCACAATTTTTATCCGATTTTAAAAACCGTGTTAGTATATCACCGTTACAACAGAATTTTTATACAATTTTGACGAAACTTGAAATTATGGTTTATATCCCAAAGATCTCGACCCCTTTCGATATTGAGATACTTGGATTATAGCCCCTGATTGTGTACGAAAAAAATCTTGTTATTAGTTTGCGGACACTCGATACAGGTCACAACGTTTATCCGATATTAATGAAACTTCACTATTAACAAAAATAATGAGGTATTTACACCAATTTGGATGGAAACTAGATGCCACCTAAATAGGGGTAACAGCTAGCCATTAGTGGTGTAAACTGATAACACCCAATTAGTGTAGAACATTACACCAATTCACGTGGAATCTAGTTGTCATTTCCAGTAGTGTAACCTGCCTGATACACCACATTCGGATGAGTGTTGCACTCAGCCAGTGTAATGTTACACTTAAATAGTTAAGTCGGTGTAAATTTAGATTAAGCATTACCACTCAAGCATGTTTTGTAAATTATACTTCCATTTTAATTATTACACCAACGCGGGTGTATTCTGTTGGATATTTATTTCAAACCAACGACTTTTAAGTTCAGAAAACTTGAAATTGGCTATGATATTTAGTAAAGGGCGTTTAGCTCGACCCAGATTACATATATACCTTCGGCTACTTCGCTTCATTTCACAACGACATTAAATTGACAACTATCCATCAGACTGATTCAAATTCAATTGCTGTTGGGCAATTAGATGATCTGTATTAATTTACAATTAATATAAATCTTGAGGAAAATTCAATACACATATCCTTACAACTTAGCTGAAAAATGCGGTTTATTCATTTATGCACCTCACCTGAATTAAGAATAATTAATTAAGATATAGCACTTGGTAATATTTTGGAATATTTACACGCCTTTAAGTGTATACAAGCTAAAATAATCTATACTTGAGGCATTATACAAAATAAATTATAAAGATTATTGTGCATGATAATATTCGTTATGAGTAAACACTCCAAATTAAGTTATAGTTGTGTTACTAATGCAATTAACGCCATACTTTACAAAAAAAAAATCAAACTTAAATTGGAGTACACAAACACTTTTGTAACTGTTACAAAATATATTATATGCAAATATTATTTAACACCCTCCATCCATGAAATTGATTCAAACATCCTTTTCATTTGACCCACAGTTGGTCGACATTGGCACTGGCTTGACACGGCGAACGACCACCTGAAACTCATTAGTTACTACTCCTGGCCTGTTATATGTAATGTCCTTTGTCTTGTTAAGGGGGGGGTGGGTGGCCGAATGGTTAGCACGTGCGTGCTGCGCTGTATCATGCGGTCTGTCATTGAGGCAACTGGCGGGGTTTCGATTCCTCGGTTGTACGTGACAAGGAGTAGGGTCGCCTGTCCAAGCGAATTATTGAAATGAAATTGAACCATGTGTTAGTCCCGAAATGACCTAGTTTGTGTCGAGTGGACGTTAAACCCCATTTCTCTCTCCCTCTCTTGTCTTGTTAAGCAATCTGTACTGCTTAATCTCTTCGATCATCCTTTTCTAGAAAGGGGTCAAATGGAAATTTTTCAGAGGGATGGCTAGGGGCGCTTTGGATTAAGGCTTTGAATGGGAACCGAAACAGATGATAAGAACTCAAAATGTAACATAATGCAAGACACGGTGTAAAATTGACACCTTATTCAGAGGAATGTTTCCCTAATGATAATTACATCTGTTGGTGTAAATGCAATATAAAGCTTGTAGAGATTTAGCTCATCCATAATACACTTTAGCGGCTAAAATTACACCTATTTTGGTGTTCAGTACTCATGAATATCGATTAGACTTTTGCAAGCCAATAAACGCTGTTCTAGGATTTATTCTCCAAAAATAGTTAATTCCCTTTGGTGTAAATGCAGTATAACAATCAGATGTATTCAGGTGTTCAGTAGTCATGGATATCCGATACACTTGTTAGGTGTTGCTCTTTTAGTTGGCTACCCATGCAAACGTGTTACATTTTAAAAACGTTTGCTGTGGTGTAACGTTTGCACTTTATTAACACTGCTTATAGTTTTTAACAGTGTACATGTTTATACCCCAAAGATCTCTCTTCTGTTTCATTTTGACTCATGTCGGATCATAATATCCTGCTTTATGTCCCTTTAGCTTGTTTTCTGCCCATGTGGGCGATCTTGCATGGCAACCGCTTGTTTTAAAAAGTCAATGATCATTATTGCTAAAGGTATGGCCCTTGATGACTTTTAAAAATGTTGTGGATGTTCTAAAGACCAAAATTATCATCCGATTGACTTACATTTATACACATTTTAACTTAATGGATTTTAATGTGTGTAAATGTTTTCAATACCGACAAAAGAAAAAATATGCGACACCTCTGCTGGGACGTCTTAGCTGCTGTGGGCGTATGTTTCGTTGCTTGACAGCCTATCTTTCTTCTTTAAATTTAACTGATCACTGAGAGCACTGCGTTTATAGAATTACAAACATTTACACACATTGCCCAGTTTTAATAATTGTCTCCCGCCTTTCGAATATATTTTCAAAAAGATAAATGTGCAATTAATTAATATTTGTCGTGTATTTTTTATTTTTTTTTGGGGGGGGGGATTTTGGCGGGGGCATCAGCCTTACTGTTGCCTGGTTTGGAGATTTATAGGAACAAAAGTGTTCATTCTACCTACTTGAGAATGATAATAGCTATCCCAACCATCGCATCCATGTCATTTTCAGAAAACAGCCCTTGTTCCGATTCCGGAATATTTGTGAAAATGCTTTGACAGAATAATTTCCAAATATGGTTTGTTTGTCTAGAAGACATTTTAAAAGAATTTATTTATTGCAGGAGTTAATACAAAACGCCGAAGATGGTGGAGCTACAAGGATCAAAGTTATGTTTGTAAATAAACACCACCAGCCAACAACAACTTTAAAAATGTGGAAAGAAAATCCAATACAATTTGCCATGAAGGTACATATTTAAATATACATTATGTCAGAGCCAATTCTGCCCACTTCAGATCTTTCTTTAGGCCTGGAATGTTATCTAAATTATTAATTAGACATTAATTAAAGATACATTATGGGAGATTCGATAACGAGTTGGCAGTTCTCACTATAATAGTTAAAAACTAGATAATATAAAGGCAATTTGCTGAAAATTTCATTCCAATTGATCCACAATGAACCGAGAACTGAGCGTTTGAAATTTCCGCCTAGCCTCGATCATTATTACTAAAGTCAGTACGATAAACAGCATAGTGTCGATTATCCATTTAATCGTTAAATCGTGAAGAAAAGTTATGCAGTAAATCGGCTCATAATCCACTTAAGATCGCAGGCTAGCAATGCCATCTAGAGTTGATTATGGTCTGGATAGGTTAATTAATGTCTAATTAATAATTAATATAACAATTAGGGCTAAAGAAAGACTTGCAATAGACAGATTTAGCTCTTGCATAATGTACGTTTAACTTATCCAAACCATAATCAACTCTACTCTCGCTAACCTGCGATATTTAGCGGATTGGAATGCATATTTTGTAAATAATTAAATCGATAAGTGGATAATCAAGACTTTGTTTTTATCATAGCGACTTTAGTAATGATGATCGAGGCTAGACTAAATTTCAAAAGATAATATCTCGGTTTAGAGTTGAACAATTTGACTGAAATGTTCACCATATTCTATTGACCTTATTTATTTGTTAACAATTATAACGAAAACAGACAACTCTTTATTTAATCACCCAATGACACCCATAATGCCCCATTAATTATTGAAAATTTTTGTAAGATTGGCTTGGTGTGGCCTAAAATGTATTCATTTAATTTGCTCATAACACAGGTACGTTTTAGATGGAATCGGAATGACGAGGTACCTTTATACACATTTATGTGTTTCATATTTTATTGTCATCCCTACCCGTCGATGTGCCTGCAGCCTGTTCTTGTAAACGCTTCTTTCCAAACTGGTGATAATTGTTCAGTTAGTGAGAATAGCGTATCGATTTTACGCAGATTTATTGATCCTGTTTCTGAAACCATTTCAAATATTGAGTTATTACCGATTTGACTGAGCACGGTTCTTTCTAAATACGAAAAGGCATTGGTGTGAGATCACAAAAAGCAAAATACTTGAAACAGTTGTGTACAAAGTTTACATTTCTTAGCGTTTCCAAATTATGGGTCTTGCTATTTTTTGTTTGTTTCGGATCTGTTTGGGATTTAGAAAACGTCGGGGATGTCAAAATGCTTTATAAGTAATAATATTGAATTGAAACTTTTAAACATCATCCCACGACCGATTTTAAGTTTATTTAACTAACATTTATAACAGTAGGGGTTGAAATAACGGTATAACCCCTATTGTAATATTTTCTTCAAACTCATTAATGGCTTTCAGACATTTTTCCGGCGGTGTTATTTCATAATATTCTATGCAGTATAAACGCATACCAGTACTCATATATTCATCTGGAAATGGTGATCAAAATCTCTAGAATTTAACGTCAAAATAAGACGTGGTGTCGGCATGGTGTTGACTTATATCTGTAATAAATTTATAAGGTGAAAACTCAATAGTAAAGGAGTTTTGAGACCTAATGAAGCTCACATGGGTCCTCTTGCATCAACTGTGATAAGGGTGAATATTCTGGTTATTGTCCATTACAGTCACACAAAAGCAATCTGAACTTTATTTGTGGGGTTGGATGCCCGAATGGTTAGCACGTACGCGTTGTATCATAAGGTCTGTCATTGAGTCAACTGGCGTGGTTTCGATTCCCCGCCTGTCCAGCCTCGTGGGGTTTCTCCGGGTCCTCCCGTTCCCTCCCCTACTCTGGCGAAGTATAATATTTGTCTATGGTACAAAATTTGTTTTAGAAATAATTTTGGGGTCCAGTCAGCCGCCACCTTTAATCTTGTCCTGCTACAGAGTGTTAGCAACGTTATGTAATCAAAATGAATGGGAGTACCACCTGTCTGGAATAATTTCGGAAATCGTCCAAAATCACATAAGATGGATTTAATCAATTAAATTATTGGTGTATAAAATGTTTACAGCCTTCTTAAAGATATGATTAGTTAAAATCCACTTTTCAGAAGCTAAAAGGAAACGAATGATCTGCGAGGTTTGGGGGGACTGCTGCTAATTATATAAAGTTCTGCCAGATCAGTTTTTCACACGCGCACTTCAGCCTGACTGTCTGTCAGCAATTTCTCGTGAACATTCTATATTAAAGATACATTATGGGAGGTTAGATTTAAGAGCTGACAGTTCTCACTATAATAGTGAAAAACTAGATAATGTAAAGGGAATTAACTGAAACTTTCAGTCAAATTGATCCACTCTGAACTGAGATTTTAGCAATTGAAGTTTGGGTCTAGCCTCGATGAAAATTACTAAAGTCGGTACGATAAAAAAAGAACATAGTCTCGATTACCCAGTTTTTTTTAGTTAATCATGAAGGAGCGTTGAGACGCAGATCGTATCCTAATCCAGTAAATATCGCAGGCTAGCGATGACATGGTGAATTTTTTATGGCCTGGATAAGTTAATTAATGTCCAATTGAATTTAGGTAACACTTCAAGCCTAAAGAAAGACCTGCAATGGGCAGATTTAGCTCTTACATAATGTATGTTTAATCATCTGATCTTTTATAAATTAATATGCGTGGTTTACATTATAACTATACTATTTCAATGATTTCTGTTGATAAATTCCAGAGATATTGTAGCAGAATCTGTAAGCGATCTAAGTCAAAAGTTATCAGTCGATGTATGTATTGTTTAGGTGGAGGGATTATTCACGGTAACTCCCCTTGATTATTGTGAATGCTCTGACAAAAAAAACACCATCACGCGATTCTCTTGAATTTATTTACATTATTAAGATGAAGAAATCAGTCAAGTTTCTAGCATCGGAAATTTTGCCTGGGCAGCGCCACTATCGCCTACTCTTATATCGAATTCCAACTGCCAAGGGATCTTTTACGTGCATTCCAATATATACACGGGGACTTCGGTTTTTCGTATCATCCGAAGGACTAGACAACTGTGAGCTGCCCTTGTAAGGCCCTCTGTTCTGCACCACTGACAAGGGGAAACCACGTCGGAAAATCCCGATGAACTTTCTCGGCCAACGCAGGGATCGAACTCGCGACCCCCAGGCTAGCAAGCCTGCGTCTTAACCACCTAGCCACCGTGGCTCCCAATTTTCAGATCAGCGAGATGAAGAAACATTGGTAGAGTTATTACCTTTACTCATATTGTAGAATCCAGTAAACGCTCTAGCAGCAAACCTCTTTAACTATCTACCCGAAATTTATATTCCTCGTTTCGATTATTGAGAAAAGCCCAGCAAATTATAATAATGTCTGATTACTTCTCCATTATCGTGTAGAATCTTAAAGTGAAAACACATACGACAACTTGTATGTACTGTGCCGGCGATTTACCTTCTGTGGCCTGAGTTTTGTTGAACAGTGTGAATATTTAATAATATACTATTCAAAAAAAGTAGGGGATATTTGATTTTGGGGGCATAATACTAAAATATGCAAATGACTACGAAAAAAGTCACTATAGAACCTAACAGAAGAAACATTTCCAGTTACATGTGACGCCCAAACGCACCAATAGCTACCGCATGGAATGCAGGTGATGCTTGGGATCATCATGGGGGTCCAACCCAAGATTTGCACGGCTCTGACTTTGAATGTTACAGTCATTGTGGCATTGAATTCCAGGGTGGAAACATTAGTTTAATTGTTTTAGTGACCAGAAAACAAATTTTGATATGCGTCGGCTTACCCAAAATGAAAGGTTACGTGCCCTTGGCATGCTACAGATCGGTTGTGGCGCGGACGATGAATGTTTCTCAGTCTGTCATAAGCAGGCTATGGTCCAGATACCGTGATACACAATCTGTACAGGACAGACCACGCTCAGGTCGACCAAGGGCGACAACTCAAGCCCGGGATCGATTTATCCGTACCTTGGCCTTGAGAAATCGTGTCATCACAGCAAATCAGATCAGCGCTCGTCTTCAAACAGACACTGGTGTGAGAGTGAGTGGCCAGACGATTCGGAATCGACTGCATAGGGGTCACCTTCGCGCCCGACGTCCTCGCGTGATCCCTTGTTTGAGAGATCATCACATTCAGGCAAGACGTCGTTGGTGTAGGGATCGTCAACACTGGGATAATCGACGCTGGAGCAATGTGATGTTTTCAGATGAGTCAAGGTTCACTGTTGATTTTTTGGACAGACGTAGGAGGGTGTGGCGTCGTCGAAACGAGCGCTTTCAAGACGTTAACGTCATCAGACATGATCGATTTGGGGGTGGTTCTGTTATGGTGTGGGGAGGCATCACTGTTGCTGGAAGAACGGCTTTACATGTTGTTGCAGGGCGTGTTACAGGCCAGTACTACCGGGACAACATCTTGGCAGTCCATGTTGGCCGCCGGTTCATCTTCCAGGATGACAACGCAAGATGTCACAGGGCCAGGATCGTTACAGGTTACCTCCAACAACAGAACATCACCACATTACCTTGGCCAGCACTGAGTCCCGACCTCTCCCCCATCGAGCATGTCTGGGACATGCTTGGACAGAGGTTACGTCAACGTCAACAACGTCCTGCCAATGTCCAAGAACTTGCTGCTGCGTTGCAACAGGAATGGGACAATCTGGACCAAAATGACCTTAGACGTCTCATTAGGAGTATCGGATCAATGCTTGTTTGGCAAACAGAGGAGGATTTACCCGTTACTGACTTGGTTGTGATGCTGTGGTAACTTTGCTGTTTGACCCCGGGTATCATTTTACCCTTATAATGGTCAGTCTGTGCCTTACTTAGTCTAACAATCATTTGGAATAAATCGATGAATGTGAACTTCATTTCATTTTGTCATTTGTTTCTTCGTCAGTTTCATTAGGTGACTTTAATAACACTTAAAAATCAAATATCCCCTACTTTTTTTGAATAGTATATGTAAATCTGGGTGTGTTTTTAATATAGGGACCAGCACTGTGTGTATATAATGATGGGCTATTTACTAAAACAGACTGGGAAGGTATAGCTGCTATACAATGCAGCGAGAAAGAAAATGAACCCCTTAAAGTTGGACGGTTTGGACTTGGATTTAAATCAGTCTTTCATATTACAGGTATGCGTTTTTATACGTCCACATTGAAATTGGGTTGTATATTGTCCGGTAATTACTTCCAGAGTTATGGTCCTTGATGACTCTGAAAAATCTTCTTGAGGCCCCATCCGATTGACTTTGGATTTATACACAGAGTATATGGTCATGATTTGACTACAGTAATATATGCACACTCAAAGTTTAATTAATTACTTTGTGAATTGTTACTCATGATCAGTTTTTAGTGTCCTGTAAAGCCCCCTCCCCCATGTGGACCAATCAGACGATTTGGCTGCTATGTCTTTATGTTTCGTTGCCTAGCCACCTACCTTTACAATGATGTTAATCATTTTTTATACGCCAACATTGAAATGTGGTCGTATATTGTCGTCGCCCCCGTCCGTCCGTCGGTCCGGCGTCCACAATTGCTTGTGGACGCTCTAGAAGCTAAAGTTAATATCCGATTGACTTTAAATTTATACACAGTGTTTAAGGCCATGAGACGAAGAATCCTATTGGCTAAAATTAATATCCGATTAACCTTAAATTTATACACAGTGTTTAAGGTCATGAGGCGAAGAAGACTATTGATTTTCAGCGATTTGCGATAATTTCTGCTAAAGGTATGGCCCTTGATCTTTTCCAAAAATCTTGTGGACGCTCTAGAGGTCACTGTTAATATCCGATTGACTTTAAATTTATACACGGTGTTTAAGGTCATGAGGCGAAGAAGACTATTGATCCGATAATTACTGCCAGAGTTATGACATTTGATAACTTCAAAATATCTTGTGGACGCTCCGCTCTAGAGGCTAAAGTTATCGTCCGATTGACTTCAGATTGATACACAGAGTTTAAGGTCTTCCGACGAAGAAGTATATAGATTTTTAATGAATTTTGATAACTTGAACAGCTAAATCCATGATATTAAATGTTTCGTATACTAAACATTAGCATGGGACAGAACTTTATAAAAACAGAACAAATTCTAATGATTTTCGGATAATTACTTAATGAGTTGTTACTCTTAATCAGATTTTAATGTATTATAAATGTTTCATTACCGAAAAAAGTAAAAATATGCGACAACTCTTGTTGACTGCCCGGGCGATATAGCTGCTGTGGGCGTATGTTTCTTTGCCTGGCAACCTATCTTCATAATTTTCATTAATAATTTAGATATTATAGATTTTTGTGGTGGTATGCATAATGTCCGTGACTAATTTTATCTGTTTGTTGTAATTTATATGTTTCAAACGATTATTTTCGGCGTTCATAACGAAGTAGTAGGCAGATACTGGCACATCTAAAATTCAAGAAGTATACATGATGGGGGTTCAGATTTATTCTGCTTCCGATTTCATTTGTATACGCCCACATTGAAATGCGGTCGTATATGGTCGTCGCCCCCGTCCGTCCGTCGGTCCGGCATCCACAATTGCTTGTGGACGCTCTAGAGGCTAAAGTTAATATCCGATTGACTTTAAATTTATACACAGTGTTTAAGGTCATGAGACGAAGAATCCTATTGATTTCCGATAATTACTGGCAGAGTTATGTCCCTTGATCACTTCAAAAATTCTTGCGGGTGCTCTGGAGGCCAAAGTTAATAACCGATTGACATTTAAATTTATACACAGTGTTTAAGGTCACGAGACGAAGGAGCCTATTAATTTTCAACGATTTCTGATAATTACCGCCAGAGTAATGGCCCTTGATCACTTAAAAAATTCTTGTGAGCGCTCTAGGGGTCAAAGTTAATAACCGATTGACTTTAAATTTATACACAGTGTTAAAGGCCATGAGCCGAAGAAGAATATTGGTTTTAAGCGATTTTCGATAATTACTGCCATAGTTATTGCCCTTGATCACTTCAAAAAATCTTGTGGATGCTCTAGAGGTCAAAGTTAGTAACCGATTGACTTTAAATTTATTCATAACGAAGTAGTAGGCAGGTACTGGCACATCTAAAATTCAAGAAGTATAGATGACGGGGGTTCAGACTTGTTCTGCCGCCAATTTCATTTTTATACGCCCACATTGAAATGTGGTCGTATATTGTCGTCGTCCCCGTCCGTCCGTCGGTCTATCCGTCTGTCCGGACGTCCGTCCGTCGGTCCGTGCTATTGATTTTCAGCGATTTCCGATAATTACTGCCAGAGTTATGGCCCTTGATCACTTCAAAAAATCGCGGGACACTCTAGAGGCTAAAGTTAATATCCGATTGACTTTAAATTTATACACAGTGTTTAAGGTCTCATGAGGCAAAGAAGCCTATTGATTTTCAGCGATTTTCTATAATTACTGCTAGAGTTATGGCCCTTGATCACTTCAAAAAATCTTGTGGACGCTCTAGAGGCTAAAGTTAATATCCGATTGACTTTAAATTTATACACAGTGTTTAAGGTCTCATGAGGCAAAGAAGCCTATTGATTTTCAGCGATTTGCGATAATTACTGCTAAAGGTATGGCCCTTGATCTTTTCCAAAAATCTTGTGGACGCTCTAGAGGTCAAAGTTAATATCCGATTGACTTTAAATTTATACACGGTGTGAAAGGTTATGAGACGAAGAATCCTATTGATCCGATAATTACTGCCAGAGTTATGACATTTGATAACTTCAAAATATCTTGTGGACGCTCCGCTCTAGAGGCTAAAGTTATCGTCCGATTGACTTTAGATTGATACACAGAGTTTAAGGTCTTTCGACGAAGAAGTATATAGATTTTTAATGAATTTTGATAACTTGAACAGCTAAATCCATGATATTAAATGTTTCGTATACTAAACATTAGCATGGGGCAGAACTATATAAAAACCAAACAAATTCTAATGATTTTCGGATAATTACTTAATGAGTTGTTACTCTTAATCAGATTTTAGTGTATTATAAATGTTTCATTACCGAAAAAAGTAAAAATATGCGACAACTCCTGTTGACTGCCGGACGATTTAGCTGCTGTGGGCGTATGTTTCTTTGCCTGGCAACCTATCTTTGTATTTAAAAGGGTTATTTGTTGTCCTATTCATATGAAATTTCGATCTTTGTTGAATATTATATAGATATTAACACATCTGTGTATACTAAACTGTAGTCAATGTGTCTTTATATTAACAGAAACTCCTCTCATACTAAACTGTAGTCAATATGTCTTTATATTCATAGATATTCCTCTCATACTAAACTGTAGTAAATGTGTCTTTACATTCATAGATAGTCCTCTCATACTAAACTGTAGTAAATGTGTCTTTATATTCATAGATACTCCTCTCATACTAAACTGTAGTAAATGTGTCTTTACATTCATAGATACTCCTCTCATACTAAACTGTAGTAAATGTGTCTTTATATTCATAGATACTCCTCTCATACTAAACTGTAGTCAATGTGTCTTTACATTATAGATACTCCTCTCATACTAAACTGTAGTAAATGTGTCTTTATATTCATAGATACTCCTCTCATACTAAACTGTAGTAAATGTGTCTTTACATTCATAGATACTCCTCTCATACTAAGTGGAAGTAAACTGAAGATAATAAACCCAGCAGCTAATGTACATGATGTTGTCATCACTAAAAAACTAAGAAAAATAGATGTTAAAAGTAAAACGGAAATGCTCGATTTAATGTCTGGAATATTTGGATTTTCGCCAGAAGCTTTTCAAGATGGTTTCAATGGCACACTGTTTTGGTTTCCACTGAGAACTGAAGAGTCAAGTTTGTGTAAAACTATTTATGATGAGAGAAAGATTCGTGACATTTTCCATGGTTTCACATCACTTGCACCATCAATTCTACTGTTCTTAAAGGAGATCGAAATGATAGAAATTTACGAGAGACATTCAGAGATCAGGAAACTGTTTGAAGTTCGTCTTGACGGTGATGATTTAGTAGTGTTAAGACAAGACAGAAAACGCTTTGTACGGGAGATAGAACGGTTCAGAGGACGGTTTGCATCTCAACCAATTAAAAATATTTTGAGACCAAAAGTGAGATGTGAAGGATTTGATTGGATGAAAATGGAAACCTCAGAAGATGAATGGTTAGTTTTTAATCAGTATCATGGTGGTCATGTAAGTGCTGAATTAATGAAACTTGTTGAAGATGAAGATTGGCCTTATAGTCCTTATGTAAGTATCGCAGCATGCTTATCTAAACCAATCACAAAAGGACACGTATTCTGTTTCTTACCTTTACCCTTAGAAAGTCAAAGTTTAACAGGTTTACCTGTTCATGTTAATGGATTCTTTGCTTTGAGCCAGGACCGCCACCACGTAAGATGGAACTCTTCTGAACAGGATAAAAATAACAGCCACACCGAAAAATCAATCCTCTGGAATCAATATCTGGTAAAAGAAATTCTACCACAAGTCTACACAAAGCTGATATTACAGCTTATAGATGATGAAGTGATCAGATCACAGCCATTGACCCGTGAAGAAAGAAGCCAGAGAGCAGATGTAGTTTATAAAACTTTACCAAACAATGGAAATGTTACAGATAATTGGAAAAATATAATTGATCCGATTTTCCAACAGTTGTATTCTACAGCATGCATGTTCACTAAACAGGAAGGGGGAATATGGGCAAAACCACAAAATACGATCTTTATAAAACTTCAAGACGAAAATATGGTAGATTCAGTTGAGGATGCCTATCTTCTTTGTGGTAGAAATTTCTCAAGGGCTCCCATCTGCATTTTAGATGCATTTCGAAAACATGGGTCAATAACATTTACTTCTGCCGAACATTTGAGAGAAGAACTCTTACAACATCCGGAAGTTTGTAACCAACTCGACTTAAAGGTCAAACTAAATCTACTTCATTATATTTTGGACAATGATGTTAATTGCTTACAAGGTTTAAAGCTTCTACCACTAGCAGATGGTAATTTCGGTACGTTTACAACTGGGAGTACCGAAACGGTGTATATTTTTGAGGATGTTGATGACATGAAGATGTTTCCTGGACTAGAATCCCATTTCGTCAAGTCAGAGTTGGGACCAGATTTATATCTCAAGATTCAGAACCAATGTTCACGTGAAATAGGTAGGTATTGGAGATCATATCCAAACCATTGGTAATTCTTCTAGTCTTGTAAGAAAACATTTCGAAAGCTTGCATGAAAAAATATAAATTTAGGTGTTAATTGTGAACAGTATTCTATATGTAGATTAACACGAACTTGTTAAAACTGCTCCTAAAGATATAGGCCGATAATTGAGAATATTTTAATATAAAAATTAATGACTTTTTCAGGTAAATTTCAGATAAAGATATTCCACCCTGATGATTTTCCAAGTCTCATAGGCCTGTGTATAAAGCAAAACCAATGGAAAGGAATAAAGTTAACGAAATCTTTAGAAGAATGGTTGTATTTGGTATGGACATACATTGGCAAGCACAAAAACTTAATTATCGAGAAAATTAAAAATTTGGATTTATTACCATATAAAGACCCAGAAACATTTGAAGAGCGACTCACAAAAACATCAAACATAGCAATATTAGAATCATATACAGGCAATGATTTCCTAAATGAACCGCTTAGTGGAGCTTTAGAGAAGTTGAATATAAAGGTCTATAAATCATTACCAGAATATATAGCTGCTGTTGTAGTTGGTAAATTTGTTGAATATCCAACACCTGGGGGCATGGTGAATTGTTTAAGAAGAATAATAGAAGATGATGAAGTAATGGGGAGAAGTGTTAAGGATTTTAATTCTAGAAGCTCCGTGTCAGAAAAGAAGAGTCTTCTTGTCAAATTAAATACAGTTGAAAATATTTCAAACATAAAGAAACTTCTTAGAAGACTGCATTTATTTTCATTGACCCCTGGACCAGAAATGGATGTTTGCTTGGATGATGTGAATGAAATATTTGATGGAAGCAAGGAACTACAAATTCCAATTAAACCTCACGAGAATATGATTCACTGCTCTGATAAATTGGCGGAGTCATTGCATGTAGCATTAAAATTAGAAGGAAAACAAAAATCATCTTCAGAAATAATTTCAAAGATTCTTCAGGATCTCAGTAGTCAACTCTTTTATTCCCTGAATGAAAAATTACAATTTATGGAGTTCTTTGTTGAAAATATGAAAACCTTTGAAGATGATCAACTTAAGATGAAGTTAGCAAGAAATATTAAATTTATAGAAAACCAAACAGGCCAGTATTGCTGTCCATCAGAGTTGTTTGATCCAAAATCAAAGCTTCTTCAAGATTTGTTCCATTATAAAAAGTCAGTATTCCCATCCACTAGATATGATGATAACCTAAGAAATCTAAAAAAGCTTGGGTTAAGAAGAGTATGTGATATCGAAGATAACGAAATCTTGGAAACAGCAAATTTCATCAATGAACATTATCTGAATAATGGAAAATCAGATTTATCTATTATATCTAGAGCTCTGTTGGAGTATTTAAATACAGATGAAAACAGACTGACTGTTGACACAATCCAGCGTTTGAGTACTCTTACCTGGTGTCCAGTTATGGACAGTCGACCGGACAGTTATCCTGAAAAGTTGGAATTTGCAGCCGATGATCATACCAATTTACTGAAAAAACCATGTGAGCTCATCCACTACGATTATTTAGACCTAGTTGGTGGAAAACAGTTTATTGCCAGAAACGACATGCCTGCATGCTTAACTAAATTCCTTATTAACATATCGAAGATGACAGATTCGGTTATTGATCAACTATTGTTTGTATCCAAAGACTATTCAGAGAGATCTTTCACTGAACAGTCACAATTCATGACAGTTTTAGAACACGTCTATGGCTTTCTCACCAAACATAAGATACTTACAGGATTGTCACAGAAGCAAGTGATCTGGACAGGTTCAGAAGGTAAATTTCAGAGTCCAGAAGATGTTTGGTTGAATAAAAAACAATCGGATATTCCCCTTCAGCCGTACATGTTTTCCTTGCCAGATACATTTTATGATTTTAAAGACTGGTTTCTGGGGATAGGTTGTGAATCAGAGCAGTCGAATGAGGTGTTGTTAAAAACATTACATCAAATTAAAGACAAGCATGGCAATGATAACGAACATCAACCAAAAGAAGTGGTGACAAAAGATTTGTCACTTGTTATCCAAATTGTAAATACTCTAGTCAGTTCAAAAGAAGATATAAGTCAATTAATATTATTGCCAATCTTTACCAAATCAGATGATGTCCTACAACTTAAACCAGCACAAGAATGTACCGTAGGTAACGAGGATTGGTTGAGTGATTTAGTTTCAACATCAACGCAAGCAGAAGCTGACCCAATTTATTTCATCCATAAAAGGATTTCTAGAGACACAGCTGACATATTTAAAGTTCCTGTCCTCACAGATCGTGTTCTACGTAATGCTAAACAATTTGACATGAATTATGGCCAAACCGAACCTTTAACTACTCGACTACACAATCTTCTTAAAGACTACACTGACGGGTTTACAATACCCAAAGAGATCATTCAAAATGCGGATGATGCTGGAGCTACAACTGTTAAACTGTTGTATGATGAAAGGATAGTAAAAGAAGCTCAAACATGTCTCTTTAATGAAGGCATGATTCCATGTCAAGGTCCAGCCTTCTGGGCATATAATGATGCCACATTTACTGAAGATGATTTTAAAAACATTACCAGACTAGCAGGAGCTACGAAGAAAGACGATAGTATGAAGATAGGAAGATTTGGTTTAGGGTTTAACTCCGTGTATAATTTGACTGATGTTCCAAGCTTTCTTTCTGGTCAAACCTACGTTGTCTTCGACCCACAAGAATCACATCTTGGAAAAAGTGGATTAAGGATCAATCTCAATTTTCCTGGGAACCAATTAATGCGGCATAAAATGAAGGGTCAATTTTATCCATTTGAAGGCGTTTTTGGATGTAATATTCTGAACAAAGACCAAGTCCATTTTGAAGGCACGTTGTTTCGCTTACCACTAAGAAATTCAGACGAAGCTGCTAAAAGCGAAATAAAGGATATAAGCTACTCTAAATCGGAAATGAGCGACTTTATTAGGAAATTAGAAGAAGGAGCTGGTAACTTACTTCTTTTTACACAGCATGTGAATAAGATTGAACTTTATCACCTGGAAAAGGATTCTTCGTCTGGAAAACCTGAATTATTAATGGAAGTATCAAAATCGTCGAACCATTCTGGACAGTCTGTTCTTCAGGCTTTAGCTGAAGCAAGAAATGTTGACGCCTACTGTACCGAGATTATAAAGATCACTCTGTCAATAACACACTGCTCTAAGAGCGTTTGCGGCATAGATAAATTAGATGTTACTGTTCCATATATAATCAACTGGAGTTTTGGTCAGGGGTCTTCAATGCAAGAAGCTAAAAGAAATGAATTCAAAGGTCTTCTACCTGTAGCCGCCACTGCTCTTACTGAAGTATCTTTACAGAATATTCCGAGTTTCTACAAGGAGTCACATTTATTCTGTTTTCTCCCCCTTCCGATTAAATCCAAGTTACCTGTCCATATTAATGCTTCGTTTGCTGTACAATCCAGTAGACGTGATTTGATGTGGAGGAATGAAGATGACAAGGAATCAGAATGTGTTGAAGATAGATGGAATACAGTTTTACTGGAAGATGCTGGAAGTCAAGCATATATACAGATGCTCACTACAATGGCCTCCCGTCTGTCACCAGAGGAATATTATAGGTTATGGCCTTCTGTATTTTCACAACCCAAACATGATAAGATATTAACAAGAGAAGTTTATAATACTGTTTGTAAATGTGACTATGCAGTTTTCCCTTCTAACAACGGGATTGTATCCTTAAAGCAATCTGTTTTCCTTTGTCCAGAATTAACAACAAGTAAAGAAGTTGGAAATATAGCCTTTAAAGCACTACGATATTTTGTTATTGAAGAAAAACAAAAGTTATCAAATTTCGCAGCTGATGTTAAAATCGTGGACTTGCCGACAGCCTTGCTGGGCAATTTCAAACAAGCAGGGTGTGAAAATCAAATAAATGAACGAATAATATCCGTAGAGGATTTTTACAAAGAGGTCGTCTTTCCTAATCTAAAGAATGCTTTTTGGCTAAAAGAAGAACTGGACGAGATAATTCTGCATGGGATTTTAGGCGGTAATAAAGTTATACTCGACCTTATTAAACTGCACAAATGCATCCCAACAAAACCAAATGGGGAACGAAAGTTACCTGATGAACTAATACATCCTACAGGAGAACTGGCTAGTCTTTTTGCTGTGGAAGAAGAATGTTTTCCCGAAGATAATAAATTTACAACGTATAATACGTTAAATGTTTTAAAGAGCCTAGGAATGAAAACAGATGAACTGGAATGGGAACATTTGCCAAAAAGGATACGATCCGTTTTGCACTGCGAACGTTCAGAATTGCTGATCAATCGCACCGAAAAGTTCTTAAGATATATGACGTCTACGCGTGATGCAAAACCGAGATATCAAAAATGCCCAGATGAAATTCGCAAAGAACTTTCTAATTTAGAATTCCTGACATTACAAAAACCGCCATGTAGTTGGACACTTCCGTGGTACGGTGGTGATAACACCAAATGGCCATTCACATCACCTATAAATGGATATTTTCCGGACTGTCAGCATCTGGTAGGATGCATAAAACCAGTAGTTGATATAAGTAAATATACATATAACAGTAAAATAACTGATGTACTGAAATGGTTAGGAGTTCAGCATTTAAGAATTGAAATTGATCTGAAGTTAGTGATAGAAAACTTGTTAATAATTTCAAACCATACCATGGAGTCTGGGCTGAAGAATGATGGGTATTTGTTACTAGATGCTGCCTTCCGAGATATCTATGATTATTTGCGTAAAGTGGTTGAAGATAACAATGAAGAAGATATCGATTATATTAAACAATCATTAGAAAACAAGGCAGTTATTTTGCATGAAAGGACATTGAAAACCGCTGATAAAATGGTGATGGAATTGAGAAATAGCCTATCACCCTATTTGTTCGAGGTAGATCAAAGATACAAACGGTATAAAGATTTGTTTGTGATTTTGGGTGTTCCTATAGCATTAACTTTGTCTATGCTTATTGGGGCCTTGTTGCTTTTTGCCAAAGAAAAAGGCAGTACTAAACTTTCATCAGATGAAATTGACTGTATAAATAGACTGTGTAACGAATTTGAAGGATTATGTGATCAACAAACAGTCGATAAGCGTGTGTTTGAGTCTATCAAACTGCCTGATGAAAACAGCGAGCTAACATTTACAAAAGACCTTTATTTTGATGACAGTCCATGGTTATCAAATGACCTGACCCAAACGCATCTTCATAAAAAAATTTCTCGAAGTGTAGCAGAGCTCATGGGTGTCAAATCAAAACGATCACATGACATTGAAAGCTTATCATCCCCTCTGTTTTCTGAATTTGGCCAACATGAAGATCTCACAAACCGCATCAAACGTATACTGGAAGGATATCCATGTGACGAATCTATACTTAAAGAGATGTTACAGAATGCTGATGATGCAGGGGCTACAGAAGTGATTTTCATTAAAGACTTTAGACAGCTTGAAACAAACAGTCTACCAGATGATAAATTAAGTCAGACACAAGGACCGGCATTGTGTATATACAATAACACCTGCTTTTCTGAAAGAGATATGAAAGGTATACAAGCTCTGGGTTTAGGAAGTAAAAGTGACGAAGTGCTTAAAACTGGTCAGTATGGAGTAGGTTTTAATGTGGTTTACCATGTTACAGACGTCCCATCATTCTGGTCAAAAGGTAGTGAAATTGGAGAATTAGTTTGTATCTGCGACCCCCACTGTAAATATCTACAGAGTGCAACTGAACGGAGACCTGGGAGCAAAATTAAAGTTTCTGGACTGACAGGAAGATACACAGACTTTATGGAAGGTTATCTACCCAAAATTACGAATAAATTGGATAAAGGAACATTATTTCGTCTACCACTACGAACGGGAGTCATGGCAGCAACTTCAGAGATAAGACGTGAAGTAACTACAAAACAGGATATAGAAGATATCATCACAGTGCTTAAAAGGCAGATAATTCCATGCATGCTCTTTCTAGAGAACATCACAAAAATTAAGATAGCTTCAGTTAATCCAAATGGAGATCTAAATATTGAACATGAAGTAAGTTCAAAGATGACTATGGAAGATACAGAGGAACAGAAAAAATATAACAACTATCTGCGCAAACTATCTCATAAGATGGGAAATTTAAAGTCAGACTCATTAAGTACCCCATTTGAAATACAAATAACATTAAACTTGGAAGAAAGTAAATCTGATAAAACTGAACAGTTTGCCATTATAAAAAGAGTGGGATTTTTACCTGAATCTAAATTTCCAGAAAAACTGAGCAAGGCCTATGACAAAGGCAATGTTCAAAAATTGCCACGAGGGGGTGTGGCTATCAATCTCTCAAGTGATATAAATGGAAAGGCCTATTGTACGTTACCACTTCCCATTCGAACAGGTCTCCCAGTACATATAAACGGACAATTTGCTTTGGATCATGAATCAAGAAGGAATTTAAGGTGCGAAATGGATTCAGTTGAAGGCCAATGGAATGCACACCTGGCGAAATACGTAATTGTTCCAGCTTACATTTCCGCACTGAACTATTTGAAAGATTATCCATTTAATTCACGACAAACTGATTTAGACGTGGAGAAATTAAAGAAAGCGATTGATAAATTTGAAAAACTTTTCCCAACAGTTGAAAAAGCCACAGATATATTTTGGAAAGATTTGAGCAAAGATATTTATAAGTGGATTGCAAGAAACAAATGTCCAATGTTTCCTGTTTTCACTAACAACACTAATACCTGGTATAATATAAAATGGGTTAACATACAGGTTGGAGATGATGGGGACTTTGCTGGGTTTTTTAACGTTCTTCATTCTTATTTCAACGAACACGAGTCTACGTCTTGCTATAGGTCCAGTGGAATAGCAAATATGCACAATACTATGGATAAAAAAACAAAAACAAAAGATAAACTAGCGAAGATTTTAGTGGAATTAGGTATGATGATATTGAAGTCGTCTGTATTGCTATTAAAACAATTCAAAGATTCTGAAATAGATGTTCAAACTGTGACCCCAGAAAATGTGTTGCGGTTCCTAAAATCATATTCCCAAATTGGATTGAATAATCGATGTAAACTGGACAATTTACCATGCGACATATCTAATACTCTGTTCAAGACACATGAAACCTTAAAATTAGTATTACAATTTGTGATAAAAATTGAACCAAAGAAAAATGTTGATATATTGTATGGTGCACCACTCTTGTTGAGGCAGAATAACATTTTAGAAACGTTTAATTTTGAGAGAACAGTTATTGTTTCTAAGTTCTGTGGACTGTTACCCGAACATTCATGCGAATTTCTTGCCTACGACATAATACATTTGATGGAGACATTCTTGCAGTCATTTAAGCCCTTGGTTGAGTGGAACTTACAAAGTTTTGCGAACTTGATGCAACATTCTGAAGAGAAAATTAGAATTTGTCATGGTGAAATTGTTCCATGGGATGACAACATGCCTGTCAGTAAGAAATGGCTTGAGAAAACTTGGGAATTTATCTGCGGTCATTTACCGAGTGGTTGTACAAGATCGAAGTTATCTGTGTCGGCACTGGAGGTTATAAACTCATTTTCGTTGCTGCCGGTTCAAATAGGTCAAAGACAAGTTTTATATCCGTTGTCATTGGCTGATCATATCATGGATATGACCAACGTATCATTCAGTTCTACATATCAAAAAGTGTTTGACGTACTGGGTGAATTACAAATACCGAAATTGTTGATGATCTCACCATTCATAATATACGAACTTGTAGTGAACATCGAAAATCCTTCAGCTTTTCTGCAATTATTGATAGAAAATATAGGCCATCTGCGTGAAATAAACATCAAGCAATCTGAAACTTTGTGGAAATACTTTAATACGAAGTTGGATGACATGAACAACGTGACATCTGTAAAAATATTACCTATATTTCAAACACATGATGGTAAAATGGTTTCACTTTGTGAGGGAAGTAAAACGTACACCTGCCTTCGCGATTCGGGCGATTCTGTACCTAAAGCCGGTCTACAGCATTGGTCATCGGTATCAAATGTGGAAATTATAAGATACCACTACGATCTTGAAAACATCTTTAAGAAAATTGGTATCCAAGTAAACAAACCCGTTGATCTGTACACCAGCTATATTTTAGAACATTTCCATGGTTTTACCTGTGAGGAACAGGTCATCCATTTGCAATACATTCGTGATGTTCTTCGATACAATCTTAATCCTAACGAAACAGACCGCTTGATTCGAAAGTTGAAGGATGTTAAATTTATACAGTATAATGGAACAACAATGACCGCCTCTCAGTTTTATGATCGGGACAACAAAGTATTTGAGGTTATGGGTGACCATCTGATTTTTCCACCACCCCCGTTTGACCACCGAGATTGGAAGGGATTTTTAATCCTGATCGGATTGCAAGATGAAGTATCGCCGGAAATGTTTGTCCAATTTGCCCAAATCGTCGAGAATTCTGGCGTCACAAACCAGAGTCAAGAACAGTCTCGTTTACTAGTAACACATTTGTTTGGTGGAGTTTACATCCAAGATAAGCAGTTTTGTGAAAGAATCCAAAACATCAAATTTGTATCGCGTTTGACTTTATCTAATAAAGACATCAGAAGTGAAATACACCCACAGTATGGTTGTGGAGACAGATTCATATGTTTAAATGGCTCGTTCGAAAGTTCACTTGTTGATTACGTTTGGACTGTTTCGAATGTTTTACCGACAAGTGTATATTTTGTTCAGAACAATTTTCTCGGTATTAAAATCAAAATCAACCCGAGCTCCTTTATCGATCATCTTCAGAACATCTGTAGTAGTTTAAAGGATGTGAATCGGATAAGGAAAATTGATAAAGCAAGTCTGGTCGGAATATTTACCAAATTATATGAATACATGGGACATCACACAGATATAAATCTTTCTGGTCTAAGAGACAACCATACCATATTTTTACCTGATCAAATGCTGATGGCCAAGGCCTCAAAAGTAATCATCAATCCTAGCAAAGGCCATCTGATAAAAGGTCGTATATTTCAAATCCCATTTGATTTTGTCTGCTATCGTCAAGTTTTTCAAGCACTGGGGGCTATAACGACCGCTGTGCCCGATATCTACCTCGAAGTCCTCAGGGAAATCTTCACGGAATGTGATGGTAAGGTGCTTGATCCAAACCTTTCGACCACTGTCAGTGACTGTATCCAGCAGCTCAACAACTTGTGGAAAGAGTGTCCACCAAATGAATATAAAATGAACGAACCACATTTGTATCTACCGGATACAAAAACTCTAATGGCCAAATCAACAGAATTGATTTTTGTTGATAATATAAATATTCATCGAAAGGTGTCAAAAATACCCTTTCGTTATTTTGTGGGAGTAAAAGCCCTGAAAATCGAGGACTGTTTGATGAAGGCGTGGCCAAAAAAATATCAAATGAAGAGGCTTACTAAACTTATTGATGTTATAATTGAACCATCTTGCATTGATAACGCTACCAAAGGTAGTAAGGCCCAGAAAATTAAGAACATGTTAATCGATGAATACTTTATAAATGGTGTTACCCGTCTATTAAAACACAATCAAGACGAAGAATCAACCTCTGATGCTAAATTTGACGAGGCCTTGAATAAAGGTATAATGCTTTTCATTGATATCGAAGTATTTGAAGTGAACAATCTTATGACGGTACTAACATACAACGACGAAGTTGTGCCCGAAAGTAATGAACCATGTCCAGTACATTTTAAGAAAAGTTACAATGACAATACTGTGACCTATTCTTTGTATGTAGATAAATCCAAGAATGTAAATTCCAAATTACCCATAAAATTATCAGATATTATCAAACGAATCTTTCACATTGAAATTGGATACCATTTTCGGGATATATGGCAGTTGATGGTTGATGAAAGTCCACAAGAAATTGGATCCTATCTGGATAAGGAAGACATCAAAACTGATGACTTTGTTTCAAGGTATATTTTATTTCCTCCGCCTGGTACTTGTATCCCTGAAAAATTACACTGGCTTTTAGATAACAGCTTCAATGAATTTGATAAAGGAGATTATGTTGGATATGAAATTTTTGATCCTGATATTGAGGATGTGGACGGGGAAGGAAATATAACAGATCCGCCTTATTATATATACGCTAAAATTGTGGGGCACATACACGAAGAAACGGATACTGAGTTTGCAAGCTATAGTCTTGATGTAGGAGAGGATGAATACATTCAAGCTACAGTTACAAGAATATATAAATTCCACCGGAATATCACAAATAACTCACGAGAATTAGTCGTAAGTGACGAGAGAGAAACAGAACAACAAAAATCAAATACCATTGAGGAACTAGACATCAACACAATCTTGAATGACATTCGTCAGACAATGAGGCGAGCATGGCAGTGCTCAGATGAAAGGGAACGAAAACGAGTAACCAGAAGATTATTGTTACTGTGGCATCCCGATAAAAATCCAAATAATGTTTTAAAGGCTACAGAAATCACCAAAAAAATATTTATGTTTGTGGAAAGATTGAATAGAGGCCTTAGTTTAGATGATGATTCCGTTCCTGACGAAACAGATGGTGCAACAAGATCACAATATTATCGATCATATGAACGGTTTTATAGCAACGTGTATTCGACAGGTAGAAATCACGCACGGTATTCCCAAGAACAAAGATCCAATAGAAGATATTACAATGATAATAGTTTCCATACATCAGCTCGAGATGAACCAAACCCATCACCTAGACAAGCCGAACGATGGCTGAAACAAGCAGATTGGGACTTAATTGCAGCGGAACAATCTCTATCTAGTGGCGCATGTACACATAACTGGATATGTTACAAATGTCAACAGGTATGTATGTTCCTGTGTCTGTATGTAGTTTTAAAAGGGTTGGAACAATTTGTACAAATGATTTAAACGCTCTTAAGAAAATTAATTGTCTATTAATAAAATATTACTAACTTAAATATAAAAAGACATGCAAAACATACACATCCCAAAGCATCAACATATTTACATAAGTTTGTGAAAATACATTATTTATTATAAAAATGTATAACGTACAGGCAATAACACACTTTTTGATTTGTTTTGATTCAGTCCGCTGAAAAGGCTTTGAAAGCCGTATGGTATAAGATAGATGCAAATAAAGTGAGCCAGGACCATAATTTGAATAGTGTTGCCAATGGGTTACCGTATTCTACTCTTGTACAATTAGCTGCAGAACTACAGTCAACCATTGGGGAACATACCCGAATGAGATATCCAGACAAACTCAGCTATCCCAATATTCCACATGATGCTTATAACGAAAGCGTTTCCACCCCAGCCTGTCGATTAACACGAAAGATTATCACCATATCAAAAGAAATAATTCGTAAGTATAAGCTAATTTGTATTGACTGTCATCAATGTAGAAATTTTATTTTATACACCCACGCGTAGTCCGTTGCTCTGCTTGTCCTCTGTCCGTCATCAATTGGCTTCCGTACGTGATAGACGCTACATTATACTCACACGCGTAGTCCGTTGGTCCGTCCTTCATCAATTGATTTTAGAACACGTTAGAGACTTCCTTATTTGACCGCTTCTTTTCAAATAGGGTGTGAATAAAGCATTGTCGACGAACCCTTTCGATATCCCGCGTTCCACGCCATTTTCCCCAGAGTTATGCTCTCTTTTCGAGAAAACCTTTTAAAAACAAAATTGGTGAGGAACATTTGGGTCATGAACAAATGAACCGTATCCACTCTCAGCGTTTGGCGACTTTCCGTTCGAGAGTTCGGCGCCTTGTGAAGGCGATATATGCCGCAGTTTTTCGATGGATTCTTTTATAATTTGGTGTAAAGCGTTATGGTCATGAGAGGACGAACACTCTTCAGCGTTCTGTGACTTTCCTTTCAGGAGTTAACCACCATCCTCTTGCTGACAATCCTGTGAACGCAATATAGGCTAGAATGAGGCATGTAACCTAGTTGAAATTCAACGTTTCGCGACTTTCTTTTCTGGAGTTATCCCCCCTTTCCTGAAACTCTTGTAAACATGACTAAATTAGAAAATGTTATATTTTGCAGATGGGTGAAAAGCAGTGTAAATCTGAGATGTATAGCAGATATTTAATAATCCTATGTCATACGTTTGATGTAGCTTGTTATCAAAACGAAGATTAACATACATCAGTATGTATTTATAAAAAAAAACTGGGTTAATTTAAGTATTATTTCTTTTTTATTTTCTAAAATCTGAAAACTAACCACCAATAAATTAAGTAGGTTATGGCGTAGATTTTTTTTGTCCATTTAATAAACACGGATTGTCGAAACGGTTAAAAGGAAAGGTGTACGCTTTCAAAATTCAGATATATAGCTACTATATGAATCTATCCGATTGTATACAATTCCTTTTTTAAAGCGTATGAAATAGATACAGAACTCGCGTTTAAAAAAATTGATGGGGTTGTTCATTAGAAAATGGGAACATTTTAATTTCAAATTTTGTAATGTTTTACAGCAATTCATACCAAATGTGTACACCGCATTTATTTGTTTCATTAATTTTTATACGCCCACATGTTCATGTAGGTGTATATTGTCGTCGCCTCAGTCCGCCCGGCCGTCCGTCCACAATTTGTTTGTGTACACTCCACAGGTCTCAATTTTTATTCGATTTTGACGAAACTTGAAATATAGGTTAATCTCCCACAGATCTCGGCTCATATCAAAATTGGCATGTTGGGACAGTATCTTCATGGATTATAGACCCTGATTGTACGAAAAATCACGATTTTAGCTTCTAGACACAATCTTTATCCGATATTGATGAAACTTGATATATATGTTTATAACCCAAAGTTCTCGGTTTCTGTCGATATTCGCGCATATCAGACCGTAATGTCATGCATTATAGCCTCTGATTGTAAGAAAAATCGCGTTGTTAGTTTGTGGTCCCTATAGAGGTCGCAATTTGTATCCGATTTAAAACCGTGACACCATGATTACGGTTGAGTTCGAATTTCGTGAAAATCCGAACTAAACTTCCCGATTTGTCCGATTGTTTATTTATATCACAAAGATCTCGGTTCAGTTCGATAACCGCGTATATCGGAACGTATGGGATTATGCCCCTGATTTGTTTGAAAAGTCGCGTTTTGAGCTTTTGAACTGTATTGGCAGTTGGAATCCCATTTCATTTCATTTTGTAAGTTAGGTTTAGGGTAAGCGTTAGTACTAGTTCCAGGGTTAGGGTTGGGATTGGCGCAGTTCGATAACCGCGTATATCGGAACGTAACGTCTTGGATTATGGCCCCTGATTTGTTTGAAAAGTCACGTTTTGAGCTTTTGGACTGTATTGGCAGTTGGAATCCCATTTCATTTCATTTTGTAAGTTAGGTTTAGGGTAAGCGTTAGTACTAGGTCCAGGGTTAGGGTTGGGATTGGCGCCAGCCCTGTTTACGTCTCGTGACCTTTGACCAAACTTGAAGTTGAAATAGATCTAACCGAGTGTCTAAAGATAATGAAACAGACAATCGAAACAAATTCTATTGATGTATGATAATTACTTATAAATATGCTACAACCCATGTTGACTTGTCGGACGACTTAACTGCTGTGGGTGTATGTTTCGCTGCCTGACAACCTATCTTTAAACTATTATAGCAAGATTAGACTATTCGTTTTTGAAATCTTACATATTTACATCTTAAAAATTTGTGTATAAGATATGTTTTATGTACTTTGTTTTTTGTAAAACATAATATTCGTGAATGTGTTATTTTGTTGTGTTTTTTATAGTTTTAATTGATATAATTTCTGTGGAGACCAAGAAAATGAAAGGTTATTTTAAACATACATTGATGTGATTTTGAGACCTGCATTTATTTAGAAAGCAGAGAAATAAACGGTATTGTGACCGTGCATAAACCAGATAAAAGCCACAAAATTTACTTGGATAACTGAATGTTTAAAAAGGCACATAACATCATTGCAATTTTCGTGTTGTAAAAAGAACTGATAAAAAATCTAATGTCGATAAGATTTATCTTGGGAAAAGATCCCGGAAAGTATGACTCTTGGGGCTGATGCAGACTACCGTGCACCCCCCCCCCCCTCCCCCTGCCCCTGCCCTCTGGGAACAATTTTATCAAATGATTTCGTAGCCGAAGGGTTTTCACACCAATGATCCAAATCATCTGTACCAGGTCAAATGAAAACACCAACCACTAATATGTAAACGCCTACAAACACGTTCGGCTAGGTGCATGTGTTGGTTAATAGGATATTTCCAACCTGCAATGTATCACCAAGGTAGAACGACAAGAAAATGATTGATATAACTCCATCTCTCTGCTACACATTTTGACTCGACAATTTAAAATAATCAAGAGTGTGTGAGAGAGAGAAACATGGGTTTGCCATCCACTCGACACAAGCTAAGTCATTTCGGGACTAACATGGTTCATTTTTATTTCAATAATTCGCTTGCGCGTGCGAGTCTTTAGCAGTTGTAAGAAATCGGAGAAACCCCACGGGGTTGGACAGGCGACCCTACTCCTTGCCACGTACAACCAGGGAATCGAAACCACGCCACTTGACTCCATGACATACCTCATGATACAGTGCGCACCTGTTAACCATTTGGCCATCCGATGTGTCCCAGGACTCAAAATATTTAGTACCACCATATCAAAATCAATCATGTTGGTCTCAAATCGTCATTTCGTATGAGAGGAGCATAATCACTTTCACTGAGAAAATAAATCTTATTTCTTTTGAATAATACTATAGCATCTTTAAAATTACCCCAGTTGTGTCTCCCCAAACTTTCTAAATTCCTATCAATGACTACTTATACTACTAAACATCGTACTCGAATCATACGATTTAAACGGAACTGATATTTGGCGCCGATTTGAGGGATTGGATCTCTAAAAGAAATATCAATCCAAATATGGTTCATTTCCGTTCAGTATTTAAAAATATATGATAAGCTGGAAATTCGACTTTCTCTATAGCCACTTCTACTTCGAGAAATAAATTACACATTGGATATTAGATAAAGGGCTGGCAGTTCTCACTATAATAGTTAAGACCTAGATAATGTAAAGGGATTTTGCTCAACATTTCAGTCAAATTCATCCACTATTAACCATGATTTTAGCGATTGAATTTTAGGCCTAGCCTCGATCATCATTACTAAAGTCGGTACGATATAAAAAAATATAGTCTCGATTATCCATTTCAGGATTAAATCATGACTGAAAGTTGAGCAGCAAATGTGATTCTAATCAAGTACATATCGCATTTCACTTATATCGTATTACACTTATTATACAGTATACTTAACATGTACATGTATATTGTTACACAAAATCGAGTAGCTAAGAGTTTACACTCCATCAGGGTCTATTTTAACGTGCCTACAGATACGGACGAACGTGTTTCGAGAAACGTAAATCCGTGCTTTGAAAGATGGTATATATCCTTGTGAATCTGAAAAGATTGCATGAGGAAATTTAGCAAGTGCGCCATTAGCAATCATTGTGATCACCAGTCACTGCGTTTGATTTCGTTTAAATTTCGTGTTTTATATGTAAATGGCTAAACATAAAGCAGTTGATGACGCCCAGTAGTTAGCTGCAGTTTACAGTAACGGTTCGTCTTCTCTTGGACGTTTCTTAGGACTGCCAGTGATACCGATACGCAGCTATAAATACAAATCTGTAATTTATGTAAATTTTTAAATGGTCACAGTATCACATTAATGAATTTGTGCCTCAATTTTTACCCGTTTTAGATTTTCAGGATCTAAAGATCTGAGTGAATTCGATTTTGGTGCAACTGCTTGAGATATGGCCTTACATAGACGAAGCGTAGCAAAGTTTATTTCGCCGAAAATAATGATTTTTAAGAGTGTTCAAATTGGTAGGCGACGTAGGCTCGTAGTATGGTTCACCGAGGCCTGTCTGTCATCATCACCTCCTGATCCTCTTGTCTTGATACCATACGTGCATTATAAATAACTACTGTGAGGCCTGCCTGTTATCATCACCTCCTGATCCTCTTGTCTTGATACCATACGTGCGTTGTACATAACTACTGTGAGGCGTGTTGGTCTACTGTCACTGAAGCCAAGACGATGAATGTATTTGTGATTAGAAAGAGACCATCGTCTTCTGATGACGTGACTAGATCGTCTACCACACCGGCACCGGGATCAGCAGCACCTCATTCCAACGGATGTCCAGTCCAAGACGAAAGCGGCTTGTCCATCTGAACTTGGCGATGTTGTCCCAGCCCAGCCCCGTGTAGTGAACCCACCGAAAACTACGTTCATTTCAAAGTAAGTGGTACACCCACCAATCGTTCTTGGCTCGAGTACTCGGTCCAAAAAGACGCGGGTTTCTGTTTTCCGAGCCGTAAATATATTTCTAATAATGAAAGAGATCATGTTTTTACGCCTATAGTTCACTTGAAAATTGATACTACAGCTGTATTACCCGGCCTAGAGTTATCCGCTTAAATCAAAAGACACTATCTACTATCCTCAAGTCGAAGAAGGAAATTTCAGAATATTCAGACAATAAAACCCTGCCTGAGGCACTTTAATTTGAGGCCCAGGAATGCACTCAGATGCGAAGAGAGAGCACCAAATTTTCAAAATTTTATGGGGAAGGACCCCCAGATCCCCCGCCCTAGCTCGCGCGTATGCCCGTCGTCATTAGCCCAGTTCGGGGCAGAACAGTAGGACGTTAAACCCAATTTCATTTCATTTCATATTGGTCATGTTATTTCTATTATACATTGATTTTGTTGTCATGATTATAATGGTAAGTAATCAAATGACGTACAGAGACTTTAAAGTCCAAGATAAAGTTTCAAACATCTAAAAAACTTATAATGTCAAGAAATAAACTCGTGTGTGGAATTTCAAACAGAAACGTACACAACTGATATTTTATTAAAATTCAGCTGTTGTCCATGCTGACAAACTTATATTTTGGAGTATCTAATGATCTCGTTAGCTGTAAGATCTATATTATTAAAGATTCTCACAACTAACAATACACCCAGTCCGTAGCAGCAAAGCCTAATACAATAATCGTGATATAAATGTAATGACGAGTTCCTTCACCAGTATTAGGCACGTTATAAGTTGGACAATGCGCGCTTACTTTTTGACTGCATATAATATACAATTCAAAAAAAGGAGGGGATATTTGATTTTTAAGTGTTATTAAAGTCACCTAATGAAACTGACGAAGAAACAAATGACAAAATGAAATGAAGTTCACATTCATCGATTTATTCTAAATGATCGTTAGACTAAGTAAGGCACAGACTGACCATTATAAGGGTAAAATGATACCCGGGGTCAAACAGCAAAGTTACCACAGCATCACAACCAAGTCAGTAACGGGTAAATCCTCCTCTGTTTGCCAAACAAGCATTGATCCGACGTGGCATACTCCTAATGAGACGTCTAAGGTCATTTTGGTCCAGATTGTCCCATTCCTGTTGCAACGCAGCAGGAAGTTCTTGGACATTGGCAGGACGTTGTTGACGTTGACGTAACCTCTGTCCAAGCATGTCCCAGACATGCTCGATGGGGGAGAGGTCGGGACTCAGTGCTGGCCAAGGTAATGTGGTGATGTTCTGTTGTTGGAGGTAACCTGTAACGATCCTGGCCCTGTGACATCTTGCGTTGTCATCCTGGAAGGTGAAACTGCGGCCATGACGTCGTGCGAACGGCACAACATGGACTGCCAAGATGTTGTCCCGGTAGTACTGGCCTGTAACACGCCCTGCAACAACATGTAAAGCCGTTCTTCCAGCAACAGTGATGCCTCCCCACACCATAACAGAACCACCCCCAAATCGATCATGTCTGATGACGTTAACGTCTTGGAAGCGCTCGTTTCGACGACGCCACACCCTCCTACGTCTGTCCAAAATATCAACAGTGAACCTTGACTCATCTGAAAACATCACATTGCTCCAGCGTCGATTATCCCAGTGTTGACGATCCCTACACCAAAGACGTCTTGCCTGAATGTGATGATCTCTCAAACAAGGGATCACGCGAGGACGTCGGGAGCGAAGGTGACCCCTATGCAGTCGATTCCGAATCGTCTGGCCACTCACTCCCACACCAGTGTCTGTTTGAAGACGAGCGCTGATCTGATTTGCTGTGATGACACGATTTCTCAAGGCCAAGGTACGGATAAATCGATCCTGGGCTTGAGTTGTCGCCCTTGGTCGACCTGAGCGTGGTCTGTCCTGTACAGATTGTGTATCACGGTATCTGGACCATAGCCTGCTTATGACAGACTGAGAAACATTCATCGTCCGCGCCACAACCGCCTGTGTTGTGCCGATCTGTAGCATGCCAAGGGCACGTAACCTTTCATTTTGGGTAAGCCGACGCATATCAAAATTTGTTTTCTGGTCACTAAAACAATTAAACTGATGTTTCCACCCTGGAATTCAATGCCACACTGACTGTAACATTCAAAGTCAGAGTCGTGCAAATCTTGGGTTGGACCCCCATGATGATCCCAAGCATCACCTGCATTCCATGCGGTAGCTATTGGTGCGTTTGGGCGTCACATGTAACTGGAAATGTTTCTTCTGTTAGGTTCTATAGTGACTTTTTTCGTAGTCATTTGCATATTTTAGTATTATGCCCCCAAAATCAAATATCCCCTACTTTTTTTGAATAGTATATATGCAACAAAAACATTCCCCATAAATTTCATTTATAACGTTTCTA